TAGATGGACCATTGGTTTGACCCATTTTTATGTTCTTATATTTTCAAATAAAGTGTAGTAACAATTAGGTTGATGTAGCCAAACTAAGTACAGCAAAGGCCTAGGAGGGGCATTATCTCAACAGATCATAGAATATCTGGGTTGGAAGGGACCTCAGGAGGTCATCTAGTCCAACCCCCAGATGATGCAGCAATACCTGAAATTACCACTGCCCTTGGATTTTATTCAGGATCTCTCTAACCCACTGTGGAATCTGGGTGCTTCAACCTGGATACCAAAGAGAGCTGCATGTAGCCCAGTGTTTGTGCCACTCAAGCAGATCTCAGTTACATTACCTGTCCATTTGCCATTTCTACTACATTCATTTTGTAGGGTGAGCACAAGTGTAGTCAAGTGTAACCATAAAACAGAGGAACTCTTTCCTTTAAATGTATTTAGCTCCTTATAGAAAATTTAATCCCTAAGACTTCAACAATAGGGATAAACTGACATTATATGTTCTACAGCTCTCAGTACAGAATTAATCCTGAAATCACCTGGGCTGTTTTCTTAGAGAGAGTAGCTTCTGCACATACCATATTTTCTCCTACTTACAGGCACATCAAGCATCTTTGCCATCCAAACAGTGGCAGCCAGAGTGGATTTAAAAAAAAAATTGTTTTCACATGCTACAAAACAAAACAAAAAGCCAGCGGCATCCAGAGACCTGCATGTTTGTGGGGGGGAAATCACATGTATTTACACAAAATAAAATGAAGTCTACAGTGACCTAGAGGCAGTAAATAGCCTTATGTTTTATTGGCAAAACCCAGTGTGTATCAGCAATCGTTTGAAGTTCTGCAGTTGGCATATTGAGTTGTTGTTCACTCTGTGATCCTCTGAGCACTATTGACCCATAGACACAGGAATGAAAGGATGAAGCAACTCCACAAGATGAGGAAAAAACAGCTACCTTTACTTAGGCTGCAGTCCTACGAGTATCTACCTAAACTGAAGATCAAATGATGAGTGCAGCAGTATATAAACAGCACATTTTCATGGTTGTTTTTTTTTTTTTGGTACTGTAACAAAACTGCCACTCCAGCTAGAGGCACCAAGATAAGGTAGATTCAGACAATTTGCCCAAACGAACCTGTATTCATACTGCATCCATGGATTGCATCAATCTTAATTTCCTTTGCTTCCACATTGACTTTGCTTCGCTCAGCCACTTTCTGTTTCTGATACATCTGGTTGGCTGGGCAGCAAATGGACAGCTCACATTTTACAGATCTAGCCTCTATTGTAGGTTGGTTTTCTGTTGCATTTTTTGGGGGGGGGAGGGGGCACCTTTCGTATGTAAATCAGATAGAATTTAAATGGACTCCATGTTATTGTTTGGCCTCTGATATTATGATGAACTTAACCAGGATATTTTTCTTAGGTTTCATCAATGAAGAGATGTAGTCCAATGTCACCAAAACATTTCAAAATTCCTTATGTATTAGTGTTGTTTGTACACTGATTTGGGCATTGTGAAAGAATAGTGGGTCAGACACTGATCTCACATCAGTTAAATTCAGAGTTATTTTGTTGCAGTCAGTGGAGTTTTTATGGATTTGTTACTGGTATATCAGAAAAACAGGAACTATGTCCCTGCTCCAGTTTAGAACCTCTAGAATGCAGCTCAGATAGGACTGGGAGAGTTCAACTTGCGTTACATTACCAGGTCTCTAAACACCCCCAAAAAGCGTGAAATGCCAGGACATGGCAGCTAAGCTAGTACAACAAAGGGAGCTGCTAATTTACATTTGAAAGTAGTGGAGGCAGCAGACTGGTTCCCATTGGCAACGTTATTTTTGCACATAGGCATCCAGGGAATTGAAGCATTACTGTGGGCTTTGCCCAGGTGAAGGAAGGATGCTAGGAAAGAAAATAACTGCTCTTTTGTCTTCTCACTTAACTGGATTGTAAACTAGCAAAGGCCCCTGTGAAATGCAGGAGGTGTCTAAAACGCTTTTTGAGTAATATTGTCAAAGCAAAGCAATCCAGACATCATCAGTATGCTGGAAAAGATGCAATATTGAGATGTAGCTGGGATTCATTCCAAGAAGGCCTAAAATATACCGTAACCTAAAGCAGACTAAACAAGTGTGTCTTGCAGTAAATCATCTGCAACCACATCTATCAGATGGCTATGTAATGAGAGAAACTAGGTATGATGGGACAGCCTTGCAAAGCAACTAGCAGTGGAAGAGCAGTGTGCTGTGTGCATACATGAGGAGTGGGGAAGAGCATAGGATTAGGTTTTGCTGTTTTTATAAGACAGGCTGTTATGAGATTTGGCAGAAAATGTATCTCTTTGAGGAATAATCAGCGATAACAGTTACGGTGTCAGCCCCTTAGGGGAAGTTGACAATTAAAGCCCATGCTTATATTTCCTGTATTCTGTATGAAGCTCATGAACATTGTCTAATTGAGCTGAATATGACCTAAGAAGAAGGTTTCTAGTTCAGCCACATACTCCTAGCGGGCATTCCTCTCTTTATCAAGAATTCATTTGTTTATCTTCAAAACATTTTATAGATAAAACTGAAATTACTATTTCTCCTTACCTAAGTTGGACTCCCCTACTTTCTGACTGCCATGTTGGCCAGTGAGAAAATTACTGTGTTCACCTGGGCTCTTAACATTATATTATTCGCAGACATGCAGCCTCCCCTGGCTCCTTCTCTAAGGCCATCACTTTTCCTTTTCCCAGAATTTTTCTGGCTCACTGTGTCTGAAAGAACTCAGTAGACATGCCTCCCAGTCCTCTGCTCTAACCACTAGACCCATTTCTGGGAAATATGGCTTTGTACATTGGGCACTGTAACTTACACTGGGAAATGGATGCTATTGGATGGGCAAGTGTGTAATACAAGCTAGATGACTACCATAAGGCAATTATAACTCATGACCTAACTATGGCTCATTATAAGCCAATTTGGACACTTTTTAACATGTAATGTAGTGAATGGAGAGTGTTGTGGACTTGCTGAATGGCTAATGGGAAAGACACAATTGGAAATACAATACGTTTGCTGTTCCTCATATTTAAAATAGGACATTTGGACTCAGACTAAAGAGGGACTCACTGGCAAGATAAAGTTAGAAACTTAGGCCCAGAGGTTTAAAGGTTTTTGGGCATAAAT